CGGCTGGGCTGCTCGCATCACTTGGCGCCCGGCGCGGCGAGCGCTGCCCGCGGCCCCCGCGCGGCCCTCCCCACAAAGGGCCGCGGAGCTGCGTGGCCGTCGCCGCCGGCCGTGGCTCGCCTCCTCGGCCGCGGAAATTTGTTGCACTTCTTGGGGCTTTGTTTGTTTGTTTTTCTTCTGATTTTATTTTATTTTTTTCGTTATTTTGGACAAAATGTCGGTCCGTGATGTGAACATTGAGCGAGCAACCTTGATGGTATTGGGAGCTTTGCAGAAGGTGCAGTTTGGATTCTGCTTTTTCCCAGGGTGGCAGCTCGGTCTTGGCCGGATGAATCTTCGCTGCTGGCTGTGGAAACGGCTAGAGCAGCTTGTTAGTTGATTTTTAAATTCCTAAGTGTTGTATTTTAAAGGCTTACGTGCACAGAGGAGGAATCGCCACCTTAAATAAGCATATGGGCGATTAACAGGGTATGTTTTCCTCTCGGAAAGGGAATTTGGTAGCTTTGACCAGTGTCAGCGTGTAAATATTTAGACGTTATTAGTGACTTTTTAACATTTTTCAGCGAGATCTGTTATTTACAGTGTGTCATGTGTTATTAATGCTCGTTGCCTAAGTTCCCTGGCAAATCTGTTTCATGCCTTCTGAGAAAGTAGACAATTGATAGATTGTCCAAGGGATGGAAAAAAAAATGTGAGTGGGCTTTCTAACTTGAGTTCGGTAAATCCCTGAGCGCTGGCGTTGTGAGACACATCACCTCCCCTGTAACCTTGCTGTAGGATGAGATAAGTGTGAACACTTGGAAGCGTTTTGATTAAAATACGATTTTAGGTGAATATTAAGAGAAGAAGATGCTATTGGTTTATTTCTTAGACTTAACATTTCCTTTCTTCCCCTTTTTTCTTTTTAAAAGTTTTCCAAGTAATAACTTCATCAAGATGTCCAGTGATCGGCAAAGGTCCGATGATGAGAGCCCCAGCACCAGCAGTGGTAGTTCAGATGCGGACCAGCGAGACCCAGCCGCTCCAGAGCCTGAAGAACAAGAAGAAAGAAAACCTTCTGCCACCCAGCAGAAGAAAAACACCAAACTCTCTAGCAAAACCACTGCTAAGTTATCCACTAGTGCTAAAAGGTAAGGTGTAAAAGAAGGATTACGCACACTGTCAGGTTGTCTTCCAAATGGGCAGTTTTGTTGGTTTTACAGTTGAAAAATATTTACTTCGTGATCAGTTTTATTTCTACTTGGATGAGTTGTCATTCTTTGAGTGGTATATAAGCCACCTCCCTAGAATTATAGTTTTAGGCAAACTCATTCTGTACTTTGGTAACTTCAGTAAGTGTCCTTGAGTTAGAGATTGGACTAACATTCTGACAGATTGTTTAAGGAGTTGGCAAGGAAAATTTGGTGAACCCAAATCAGCTGGTACATTGAGGGTGTTCCTTTTTATGAGTCATACTCTTCTTCATTGAAACGGACACTTCTAGAGATCAGCAATTCTTCTCTTCATGAAACTTAGTGATCAGAAGCAATCACATTTGCTAGAAAATTTGTGAATTCAAGGCCTTGGCTATATTTGAACGCAGATTTAAAAATTGTGCTGCAGATTTGCTTTCAGTTTTCCAAACATGACTTTTGAGTCATCTATCCCAGGTATTACTTTTTGTGGTTAAATTATGGTTGCGCCCCTGAATTCCTGTGAGGGCAAATAAAACTGAAAAGTAGCCCTCTGCAATTTTAGGTGGCACTTGGTGATTGAAACTTTCATTGTCTTTGTGCCTTTTACCTCTAAAATTTGTGGATATGCGTGACACTTTAATACTCAACAGCAGGAGAAACATTTTGTTGGGTATAAGTGAAAAATCATTTGTTTCCTGTTGATTTTTATTATCTGTGATGGTGAAAATAATATTCTGTCAAATGGAATTCCATCAGTGGTAATAGTGGAATATCCATGAATTCTAGTAATTATGCGTCAGATGTACCTACAGTATTAGTGACTACTGACATCTTGTTGATTTTTATTGATCACAACCAAAGGAAAAAGAAAATCTAAAAACCCATCAGTTCTGTAGTGATTCAGAAGTACTCTTATTTTTCTATGGATTTTCATCTCTTGTGTCAATAATTATGTTTAATAATGAGAATATTTTATTAAGTAACAACAGTGTTTGGAATAATTTACAGCCTTTGTCCATTTATTGTAGTCGTGTTGAGGAATATATTAAACACATCTTAAGTTTTGAAAACACTTTAAATTTGAATAAAATAACGTAACTGCTTTTTTCCCCCTTTACTCAAATCTATATAATTTACTCACCTTTCCCTCCAAGTTTATTAAACTTAAGTGCTGTACTTAAGGTCAGAGAAAATGGATATGGTTAAATAATGACAGAGTCCTTTGGAAGTTGTTCACTGGTGAAGACATTTGTAAATATTAAACTTTTTTTTGACAGATAAAATATTGTCAAAACTATTAATGTGCAAGAGCTGGAGCTTGTTAATTCTTACCTCAGTAAAAGTGACTTGAAGTCATTGTCAAATATTCTAGTGCTTTCCCTCCTCCCTTCTTGTCTCATTTGCATATAAGCTTGAAAAGAGAATTTCTTTGGTAAAAAGTGTTTTAAAATAGATTTTATGTCTTTTACTGAGTGCTGGTGGAGGATTATTTCTTAAATCAGGTGTAAATGTCTTACTTATTTACAGTAGCAAGTGAAAAAAAAAGCTGCAAAGTTTCTGTTAAGGGATTTGGGTTATGCCTCTGAGAACAAAGAGGAAGCAGCCATGTTAGCATTACTGAAGGCAAAGCCAGCCTTGCATTTAACTGCATGGTGGTAGAGGGCAGTGTAATTCCCCGGTTATTCTGTAGACTATCTCAAATCCTTTTTGTCTGTTCTCATTTCACTAACAGAATTCAGAAGGAGCTAGCTGAAATAACCCTTGATCCTCCTCCTAACTGCAGGTAAGACACAAATTTTGTTGTTCTAATTTCAAATTGTGGAAAACTATCAAGAGATCGTCCTTGGATGTATGTGCTGTAAAAGAGGCTACAGTTGCTTCTTTTCACCTTTTCAAGTAAATTAAACAGAAATTTTCTAACGTGAATTAAGTAAATTCAAGACAACAAAAATTCTTTTTAAAATGTATCATACATTTTGGACTTATGCATATACTGATTTTGTGCTTTTACCAAGATTGGTATGAACGGTGCTGATTTTTGTTGTTGTGATATTTCTGTAGAGTGTTTATATAGAAGTATATTGCAGAAACTTCTAAAATTTTGCTAAGCTTTAAAGTTACTGCTTGTGTGCAATCTGAACTGACCTTCCAAATTTAGAAATTGCTGAATGTGTTACAAAATGTAAATGCAGTAAACAGGAGAGTAGTTGTTTCTGTTTGATTTATTCAGTAACTTGCCTTGAGGACAAATTTTATGTGCAAAGCTAATGGTTTTAGTTGTTTTCTGGAGAATGCATTGTTGGAATTATTTACATTTTAATCAAATATCCTAATTACTTAGGAAATGCTTAGTAATTTAGGTACTTGCAATATGTGTATGACAAGCAGTAAATGAATTGGAATTTGTGGGAAGAATTCATTTCAGTGAAGCTCTTGTAGAGTAATAATTTAAGGTGGTTGGCATAAGATACATTAAAATAACTGGTTGAGAATTTTTCGTTTGAAACAGTTTTTTCAATTCATCTTACTTAGTGCTTTGTGTGACTGTATGGCTTCCAGAAGTCATCTAACTTAGAAAAACAGCATTGTAGATAATTTCATAGAGATAAGTGGTCAAGAATGTGAGTGGCTCTTAGAAATAAGGCAGTGTTACGGTTTGATAGGAAAATGTTTACTTGTCTTACCTATATTTTTGCTACAAGTTGTGTTCACTTGTGATGATGATCAGATCTATCTCTGAAATCTTATTTGAGATATAATAGGATATTACCCAATTGCTTCTTAATGTTTGTGTTAACCGGATCCTCAGATAAGGTGATCTGATCCTGATTTACTCGGTGAATTAACAGTTTTGTTCATATTTGTAATCAGCCATTTCCATTAAAAAAGGAAACATGAGTGTGAACTAGTTTTTAAAAATAGTGTTATGTCAGATTTGAAAGTATTACATATGAGCTGCACTGTCTAATAATGTAGCCATAGCCACTTGTGGCTATTGACCAATTCACTTTAGTCCAAAATGAGATAATGCTCTAAGTGCGAAATACTCATTGGATTTTGAAAACTGAGTATGAAGAAAAGAATGTAAAATATCGTGAGTTTTTAAAAAACTATTAATTACATGTTGAAAGGATAATACTTTAGATATATTGCATTATATAAAATATGTTTTAAAATTAATTTCACTTTTACTTTTGACGAATTTAATGTGGTTATTAGAAAATATAAGATTACATATGTGGCTTGCATTATATTTCTATTGAACAGCACCGCTTTAGAGAATAAATAAATCAAAGTATTTCCATCCAGGCGTTTAAGTGGTGTGTCAAATCTGTAGCCATTTAGGGGGGTCAAGTTAAATTTGCTCTCTTGAAGAATTACTTAAATTGCAGAGTGTATTGTGATATTTCCCATTATAAAAGATGTAATGATCTATCAATTTAAAACTCTTAAATGTTTTAAAATTGTATGTAAGGTCAAACATTTTTAAAGGTTTCTTTTGATTTTTCTAAAAATGGCACAAACTAGTGTACCAGCATAAATCTAGAGCCCAGTTGACATGTGTTGAATGCCCTTAGAGCAGTTGCATAGTGTTGCAGTTGCTGAAGAAATACCCTTTGCAGTTTAACCTAGGAATGGTTTCCACAAGGTCATTGAGGATTATTTTAGAGGAAGTAAAATCTTTCTAAGAGATAGAAAGTTTAGACTGTTTTTATTCTCTTTGAATACCAGGCTTCATTTCAGTCCATGAAATAGCACTTCACATTTAGGCATTAGACTAGTGAAATAGCAAACCTTTGGGCTTGCTTGTGAACAAAACTATGGAATACATCATCTCTGCTTTCCCTTGTCACGATTTATGTTTACTGTCAACTATTGCAGTTGACGTCTTTCATTTCTCTAGTTCTTTTTATATGAGCTTCTTTGTGACTGTGTGACTGATTAAAGAAAAAAAATATGAATCTTAGTAGGGGACTGGGAGAAGTTGTTTCTTATTAGTTTTGGGACAGTCTTCTTCCATATATGCCTGACATGTGAAATATCCAGATACTTCGTGCATTTTATTATGTGTCTTCAGATACTTTCGGATAGAATATCTAGTCCTAGCCCTTGAGCAGGAATTCAGAATATTGAGTGTTTAGTGGAGGCATTTTAGGACTTTTGACAGCTAATTCCAAATTTGTCTTGTAATTTTACCTTCATGTCAGGTATGCGGCAGATTGTGGTGTTCTTGTAATTCACAGGTGCATTGGTGAGAATTTTAGCTTTATGGTGATTGTATAGTTTAAATTAAATAATATTATTAAAAACGGGATCCTATATTAATACATTTTAGAATATGTGAATTCATACTGTCTGAAATTGATAAAACCTAATTCTTTTGACTTTCATGTTTAGTTAATTAATCAGAATCCCATTATGTGTTTTAATATGATTTTTACAAGCTTGTCAAAGTATGTGACAGATTTAATTGTTCCCCAGGGAAGAAATGAAAGTATATCTGTGTACATTTAGGAAAAAGTTAAATGAAATACAAGAAAACTCAGCAAAACCAAAATTACTCAGAGTAGATTAAGATTTAAATCCGTTCTTATATTTAGTTAATAAAATATTCCTTAGTTATTACATAGCCATGTCTAATATTGTGTACCCCCATGGTGATCTTACGATAGGCTTAATTGTTGAATTAAGTGTGTGGCTTTAAATTTGCTTGAATACATTTTGAGAGTATTGATATTTCTTTTCCTTATGGTATGAAAGCTTGATAAAATGTTATTTCTAGGGGTTTGATGTAATTTCTGTGTTTAGCTATTGGAGTATCTTGGGCCAAAGTATCCTAAATATAGGATATAATATTTTGTGACTTCAATTTATACTCTTTACATACTATATTCTAGTTTAGGGTATAAATTTATGATATGCCAATGAGAATGAAGGGAAATTGTGTTATGGGTATTTCCTTATCTGTTTTTAGAGAAAGTTGTTGACTAGAATTGTTGAGTGAGGTGCTGTTAAGACATTTATGTTACACCTGTTTTCCAAAGTGTGTCCTTGTGTCTCAGTTACCACTTGTACAAGCGACAAAAGTATAGAAGATACTGGGGTGTTTTTTTTTTTTAAGATTTGTATTGGGGAATTGGGGGATGGGAACAGCGCTGGGGAATCGGGGGAAAGGGAACCAGACAAGTTGCTGTTGTTTTTGTTCTTCAGTCTAGTTGTGGAGGACGTTGCTTCACTGACCCAAGTTGGCACCATCATTGCGCTCTTCCCGGGCGAATCAGATCAGTCTCCGGCTTCTGGACAGCCGCTCCCGCTGGCTGCTGGCTACACACGGTAGCCCATGGCAACCCACTGCAGCAGGGGCTGCAGTCTACACTGTCACTGGCAACTCAAGGCAGCCCAGCTCCAGGTTGAGCTGTTGTTCAGCATCTTAGCTGTAGAGGGCAGTGTCACTGGCCCTCATATGTGGGATCCGAACCGGGGGCCTCTGGCATCCCAAGCCAGCTCTTAACCAACTGTGCCACTCGGCAGGCCCAAAGATACTGGGTTTTTAATTCATATATGAAAAAGCACAAATATGTGCTCTTAAAATATTCTGTAATATGTGCAGATTGAATCTGTTAAACTAGATATTCAGGGACATTTGTAAATAGTTTTTGGATGTGGAAAGGTTTATTGGAAGGAGGTGTTACAGTAGCAAGTTAAAGTATTAATGTTTATGTGCAAAACCAGAAAGCAGGTACTATAATACTAGCAAATTTTGCTAACTCCCTTTTAAAAAAAAATTAATAAAGGAAGCAATTAAGTTCTAAACCAGAAGTTGGCAAACCCTGATTTACTCATAAGACTAATTATCTAACTATGGATGAACTCTACCTCCTTTTGAGGATTACCACTACTTTACACCATTTCCTAGTGTAGACTAGAGCTTTTCTGCTCAAAGGGTGATCTTCATACCAGTAGCATTGCATCATAGGTGAGATTGTTAGACATGAAGAAACTTGTCCCCCCTTACTGCAGAAGTACTAAATCAGAATCTGGATTGCAACAAGATTCCCAGGTGAACTGTACAATATATACTCGTATGTGAAGGTTTGAGAAGCACTGGTACTGGAGCTGTACTGTGGGTTCGTATCCCTGCCCTGGCACTTATTAGCTGTGTTACCTTGGATGAATTATGGTATATTTCTGTCTTTCAGTTTCCTTAGTTGTAAAATGGATATTAAAATGATACCCCCTTCATTGGTTTGTTGAGGATTATATGAGTTAATATGTTTTAAAGTTTTGTAACTGTAATTTGGGTCAATAAAGTGGCCACAGCATGATTAAAATAGGAGAGACAGTTTTGCAGCATGCCCTCACTCTTGCTTACATTTTCTCCAGTACATCAGCATCCTACCATAGGAATAATTTCATTTTCATCAATTCAGAACCAATTTATTGAGAACATAGGCAAACAGTTGTTTATTTGAGGTTAGGAAAAGCAGTTCCTTGAAGCTTGAGTAAAAAAGAAAATAAACGTGAGAATATTGGGCAAAGATGAACAAATAGTATATACCCTTTAAAGGAATATGCATAAGGTTAATGATAACTTAGCGCAATAGAGAATGCTTTGACTGTCCAGAAATTAAAATGAAACGTTTTAAAATAAGGGTGATAGGTATGTTTCCCATTTTAAATATTTTATTGTAAGAATTTGTAGTTTTACTGAGATTGAGATTATATTAGTATTTGTAAAATTTAGATTCTGAATTGATATAGTTACTAATTACCTAAACATAG